TTCTTGGTTACTTATCTCCATATGAATTGAATAATACATAATATAGGGTAAGACACACAGTAGTACATTACAAAATAAATAATTAATTATCATAACCAAAGTGGCTTTATTATTATTAATTATTTATTTATTCATAAAATTTACATTTCTATTAATTAAAAATTCATTTCGTAAAATTCAAGATAGAAATATTATGACTTGAATACTCTTGTATAGAAACCCTATTCTAATATAATTTATAACTTAAGAGACCACGAGGCTTCTTTTCAGACGTCTCGTAGGATTATTAGAGATCGAAGAGGAATCAATGTTTGAAAGTGTTTGGATCATTCTGATGTTAATTATGACAGGATAGGTATAAGGATTGGGTCAAATCAGTAACATATGGAACATTAAGGTGATTATGGATGATTTTATTTGTGACAAAATAACTGAGATTGAGGATTTTGCATAGGATTTTGAAGTGCAAGGATTGAATACGAGAGGAATTCGATGATTTAGTGTAAATGCATGTACTCAACTTCTTGAGTACAAATAGGGCTTATTACAATCGTGTATATGGTAGTTTGTAATTAATTAGTAGCTCAGAGCGTTTGTCTAGTAAGTGTTTTAGCAACCGGAATTTTACGTAATGCTTAGTTTTATTTTATTTTTTACCTTTTATTATAGTATATGTTGACTTTTTTTCTATTATTTATATATATATATATATATATATATATATATATATATATATATATATATATATATATTATATATATATATATATATATTATGGAGCTCAGTTAAGGGAGATAAGTGAGTTGAGATTAGTATTTTTGACATTGTTCGAATTTTCGGATGTTAGTCATTTTTTTTTTATTTATTATTTAATCAAACTATTTACAGTATGTTTGTTAGTTTTCTTGGGTTATTTAGTGTTCTGCTGTATACAAATGATTAAAACAGACAAGAAACTATAACATATGTATAAAAACAAAAATATACTTTAATGTATTAAATAATTTACTTTGCAGTAATTATTTTATGTAAAATATAAGTATATTAATTTAGTCTTGGGATGGCTGGTATAGTCAAATACTTTCTCTTCAGGCATATTCGATTAGCATGCATTAATTATATAGTTAGTAATTAATTAGTGATATGTCGATAATTGAAATTTACCTAGAATTCATAATATATTTAATCCTATGAAAAGGCCTTCGGTAGGTTCGCAGAATGACAAGCGAAATAATTACTCCCGGTAAAATGTACAATGATGTTAGTGCGATACCTGTCGGTTTTCGAGGAACGCATCCGTTTCACTGAAGCATGGTACTGACCCAAAATAATCTACACTACACGTAATGAGGTAGAATGGACCCTGTTTCGGCTCTCTTGATTTCGAGGAATGAGGTAATTCCCTAGAATAGAAAGGGAATTTCATTAGGGAGTGAGGAACCCAATTTCCATCCATAAATAGGTACCTTCATTCACAATAGACATAACAAAAAAATGAGAAGTTTTCAAAACCCAAATGTTTTCAAAATCCGACTGATCGAGACGAAAGAAATTGTCTTTAATGATTTTTAATGATACGGTTATATTATTTGGAATTATTCAAAACTGACAATGAAGTCTTCCTCAAGAACCTGTTTTATTACACTAGGCAATGCTGCAGATTGAGGTCCTTTATTTTCAATGAATAATAAATTACATTTATTTTTCCATAACTTTGAAATTTATTTACTTTGTTCTGCTTGTGGTATTTATTATTCATGCATGAAACATATTTATATGCATATCGTGTTTTATTGTATCATTTGCTATTTACAATTGACATGTTTATATATTATATATTGTATACTATGCCTGTATTTATCTTTATACTAGTGCTATTTATTACTATTAGTCATTTTATTGTTCGCTATATTTAGATGTATTATTTCGAATTATTCTATTATGTGGGTATTATATTATATTTCATTGTTTATATTTAGCCATATAGTCAGCTGCTTGGTTGTTATCAGGAGAGGATGTTGTTGAATCCTAATGAATTTTTTTTTTATATAAGTTGTAAATATTTTTCATATTATTTTTTCATTGTTACCATTATAGCCAACTCTATTTGTATGAAGCATTCCCCGAAAACAAATAAATTATACGGTTATATCCGTTACAGTTTTAACGGAACTATACAGGACTCTGGATTTTATGCCCTAAAATGTACCTATTTAATGATTTCTTCGCGGTTATAAATACCCGTTATAGTTCTAAAAGAACCATAAAGGATTCTGCCTTTTCAGCTCTAAAATGTACCTATTTAATGGTTTCATTACGGTTATAAGTACTCGTTATAATTCTAAAAGAACCATACAGGATCATTTTCAGCTCTAAAATGTACCTATTTCGAAATGAACCAAATTATTGCCCAAAAGTTGTCAGGTACCATACCAAGGAACACTTATCACATATTTAGGTTTAAAAAAACAAAATATTCTTATTTACGATAGTCTTCCATGAAATAAATATCTATTGAAAAGCAAAATATAGGATCATAGATCCTATGATCTCTTGAACTGTTAAAATAATTTAAAATGGCTTTTATACTTTCACTAATGAACTATACATTTAGCTCTCAATACACAATTGAAAGAATTTCAAACCAAGGCCCTTCTTCACCAAACAAATATATTTTTAGTGACTGCAATCATGGATTAGGATAAGTTCAGTGATAGCTGTGATTTATTGCTTAATCTATTAAACTGGAGGGATATAGTCGAGTGGAAAAAGGCCATTTAAATGACATTTTACAATGACAGTGATCGAAAATTATAAAGCTTCACCAATTGTATTTGTTGAATAAACCGTCGTAATTTTAAATTGTATATTCGAATAATCCTGTTTTGCTGTGGAACAGTTTTCCCTATAGTATACTAATGTGACTTAAATTCACATAGATTATATATTATATTTAATTTATTGTTATAATTATTATTTTATGAGAAGGAGTTAGTCGAGGGTGCGGTCAAATAAATAAAAAAATTAAAATATATAAATTATTTTAATTTTTGCCGACGTTTCGACCTACTTTGCAGGTCGTCTTCAGGGCTACAAAAGATACAAACATGTTGAAAAAATAAAAATAAAATAAAAATAAACATAAGTATATATAAAATATGAAGAAGTTGTCTGATAAAGAAATAAAATATAAAGAAAATAAATACATGATAAGAAAATAGATAAAAGAAAATAAATACATGAATGTTAACGAATAAATAGATTGAAAATTGAATAACTATTGTTACAGTAATTAAGTAATTAAGAATAACTATTGTTACTGTAACAATAGTTATTCAATTTTCAATCTATTTATTCGTTAACATTCATGTATTTATTTTCTTTTATCTATTTTCTTATCATGTATTTATTTTCTTTATATTTTATTTCTGTATCAGACAACTTCTTCGTATTTTATATATACTTATGTTTATTTTTTATTTTATTTTTATTTTTTCAACATGTTTGTATCTTTTGTAGCCCTGAAGACGACCTGCAAAGTGGGTCGAAACGTCGGCAAAAATTAAAATAATTTATATATTTTAATTTTTTTATTTATTTGACCGCACCCTCGACTAACTCCTTCTCATATTATATTAACGGTCAACCATCTCTACATCATTACAATTATTATTGTTTATTTATCTACTATACACAATTATGAATAATTCATTATTATATTAAAACATATTTATGATTAGTATTTTTAAAATAAAGTCCGTGGCATAGAACCAGTTTTATCAAATTATTAACATCCATCTGAAACTTCGTGAATAGCTTTAGTTGAATCCTAATGATTTAAGTTGTAAATGTTTTTCATATTAATTTTTTCATTGTTACCATTATAGCCAAAATGTGTCCTATTCAATCACCTTATTTTCACGTTTTGGGATTGTATTTCACTCCAAACGGCTCAATATTTTTTAAGGCCACGTTTTGTCTCGAGTTTTGGCTCACATTATCTTACGATTCAAGTGGAAAGCAAACTGGTATTTACAAGTTTTTAGTAATTAATTAAATAGACAAAGCTTGACGATCTCCAGATTGAAAACACAATAATTCCGAGAATTTTCGTAAATACAATAGTTGTAGGTTACAATGAGGTGATGCAATTTAGGAAGTTTCAGCCGGTTGTTAATAATTTGATAAAAAGGAGCCTGTACCATTGACTAATAGAATTTTTACAATTTTTTAATACATTTTTTTTAATGATTGGTAAATGGTTGACTGTCGTGGATAATGAAGAGAAGAATAGTTGGGGTGGTCAGTCAAAAAAAAGAAGGCAAAAATAAATATTATCATTTATTTTTGCCTTTTTTTTTTACTGACCACCCCAACTATTCTTCTCTTCATTTTTTTTTAATGACATCTTGAATATCATTCTATTAAAAAAAAAAATCATCAGATTATACTTGAAATATCTGTATACATTTTTTTCGGTTATTCAATTATTGCTTAATATTTTATTTGTTGATTCAATAATCAAATATTGATTGAATAATTATTTATTTTTTAATATTATACTAACTACTTATATCAAACGTTTTAATGTTTTGTTTTTTTAATTATAGAACAATTCAATAAAATAAATCAAGACAATAATTTGTTTAATGTTCCTTTGTTTTCGACTTTAAATTATGCCATATTTAATTCTTGAAATGGGCCCAAAACAATCTTCAGCGATAGTCACTAGAATTAACAAAAAAATATATTGCTTCAGAGAAAATAAAAATTAGCAACTTTTAATTAATAACTTTATTGGACGAAAATAAGTAATGATCAATATTTTAAAAATTCCATCAGTATCTTGCATATTGGTAAAATCATTCATGTGTAAAGCATTATTGAACAAATTATTGGAATAAAAATTTACCCCATACTTCACGCACCTATAAATTTAACATAATCCACTTTATGAACTATATTCAATTATGAGCATTGCATGTTACAGTGCTACTTACCCTTGTTATTCCAGAGGCATAGGCTTCAAAGGTTTCGGGAACGAAGCCCCAAGAGTTGAGGTCGAAGAGAAGGTCCATCAAGAATCCGCCGGGTGTGGAATGTGTGTGGGTTCCGCTTAGCATCACGTTGTCGATGGTGTACAAATTACCGAGTTTCGATTGTAACCTTCTCAGTACCTGTGGAACATATAAGTTTTGTTTTGGTCAATATAAAATAAAAATGAAAACATTTCTTTTTTCCTAGCACTTTTTTTTTCTTTATTTATTAATTTATATATACATTACATCATGTCAAAATGATAGATTCCATGTTTGTGGTTTCAGTAACCTTATGCATGACATATAGTGGTATGAATGTCCTAGCACTTAAAAGTAGGCGCACTCACACAAATAAGCCTCTCTTACTTTTCTGTCTTCGTATATAATTTTGTTCATAAATTATTCTCTATTCTAAAACCATCATAGATTAACATAATAAGTAGATTATTGTAAATGAGTAAAAACTCATCGAGAGACAAAAATTTGTTGTTAGATTATGATTAGCAAATCCCAATCATACAACCTTATGTTTCTACCATTTTTTTTTTATTATTATTTTTTTAATTTATTTATTCATTGAGTATTACAACAATCTGTCTCTTGGACATTAGTTATAGTGATGTAGGATATCATTCACACTATATGTACAAAAACTATGTAATATAAAATAAATAGAAGCAAATCTAACAATTAGGTAAATAATTCAATGATTTTTCAAAGTTTCACCAAGTCAGTCATCATCAGGTCAGAAAAAAAAAATCCAATACCACATGCCTCCATGATATCCTATTGCAAACTGGAAAAAAAGGTAAGCTAACATAGCCGAGGAAGAATCTAACCAAACATCTGATAAAAAAAAAATTAAATAAACAAATAAAAGATGAACGATAAACGTGTGCGCCCAAGTCTATGTTTCAACCACAAATTGTTTTGTTACATTGATAATTCAATTCAGCTGTACTTAGTAAGCAATATTCCCGGACTTTCATTAGGATCCAATGACATTTTTTTTTTAAGACAAACGTAAAGCTAGCGGTATTATTTTTTGATTAGAAGTAGGATCAGTAATATTGCTGTCTAGACCGGATGAATTTGGCATAAAATGTCGACCCAAATAGGTCAAATTTTGAAGTAAAAGATAAACGAATAAATTTTCGAGGAAAAGACAAGCATTTAAAAATGTCACAAAACTCGTTTTAAACCCATTAAAATTATTACTCATAACAGAAATTTACGTAATCCGATGCGTTTCTAAATATTTACTATGGCAAGGTCAGTCGAAACCAATCGAGTCAGACGACCAAGTAACGTGCGTTTCCAAAACTAAGGCTATAAACAAATTTTGGTTGAGCTCATTTAACCGTATTTGAAACGATGTTAAACTTAATGGAAACACATAAAAATGCAATTATTTTAAAGATTTAAGTATCTAGTTAAATCTTAGGTAAGAAATGACTTGCGATTGGATTGCGTCCAAAACTACCTCAAAGGTGTCAAATTATATATTCCAATCAACCGACCATATTTCTTCCAAAATATTGAGTATGCCAAGCTTAGTAAGTAAGATATCTTCCCAAAACTTACTCAAAAAATATATTTGGTAGATTCGTGGTAGATTAAACGTGTAACTATAAATCATAATACATAAATACACAAAAACAAATAAGAATAAAAGAAATAATAATAAGAAAACAAAGAATGAAAGAGAGTAAATTTTACTCAGCGACATTTAGTCGACTCAGAATAACAATGAACAAAGAAAAGACAATTGTCTGGCGAATGTGAATAATTAAATGACAATTAAAAATAAATTAATTTACTAAGTTGTCTAACTTTAATATTAAAATAAAGAAACATGTATATTTTACGTAATATTAAAAATAAAGACACTGTAGTAAACATATGAATTTGAAGATGATTACATACGGGTGAGTTCACGTATTTGTACAAATAAGCAATATGACACATACATAGATATTCTCAAGATATCGTTATAGTGTAACTCACATCTCTATAGTACGAAATTATACATATATTCGGAAGATTTATTACTGAGGAGATGGAAAAATAAATTATGTTTCAATGAGGTCACCAATCTCTTCAAGGATATAAAGATATCCGTAAAGAGATTGGTAGAGAATTCCAAAACAAGGTAGCACGTATGACGAAGGAATTTTTTAAAGGAAACAGTTCTATGAGAAGGAATAAACAAATTTGATCATTGGAATCTCGTGTTGAACGGATGAACAGAGGAACATAGAGTAAAGAAATTAAGAAGGTTTTTTGGTTGCAAAGGTTCGGAAAAGCAATATTGAGATATATTGAGGTCGGAAAACTGGATAGAGCCACTTCAACTCGGCATAGCAACTGGAGACGTGGGAGTGCCTGGGGATTCCAAGTATCAATCTAATGAAACAATTAATTAGCCTCTTTAATCTGATCTCTAGCCCACCAGACAGTCTACCGTATACAAGGAAGCCACAATTGAAATGAGGGAAAATGAGAGAGGAAACTAGGAGCTAAATGTACTAAAAACTTTTTCTTTAGTACTTATATTTCTTTTTTTCTTATTATTTTCTGTTTTATTTCAGGTGGCATATTTTTTTGGTTTATAGTTGGTAGTTACATGGTTTTCATCTGTCTTTTATGTTATTTTATTTAATTTTTTTTTTATGATCAGCTGTTAGTTTATAACCTTCCTCAGTTATATTACCCCAGCATTTTGCTGACATGCTCATTAGTGAGTTTTTAGTAGCATGGATCCCCAGCCTAGGAGCTGAATGAGACACCTCTGTTTCTGAATCAAGGCAATAAAACAAGACTGGAAGGAGGTGCTATCCTTCAACATGACTGAAATGCTCCTGGAAAAAAATCAACAAATTTGACGATAGTCACATCTATGACAGTTATGGATAATAATTTGGCAAAAAAAAAAATACTGAAAAATCATTTGCCTTGATTTTTTTTTCAAATTAGAAATCAATAGCATTTTCCTAATAACTTATAGAAGGAAGTTAGTCAACTGTTCTACATATCATAGGTGATAAATAGTTAGGACGTAGTCATTTTTAAGGTTTTTATTAGTGCTGCCGTTTCAACCCAAGCATGTGGGTCACTAATGTTATTTAAATACTTACAGTGATGATAATCCACATAATTGGGTTGAAACGTCATCACCAATAAAAACCTTAAAAATGACTACGTCCTGACTGTTTATCACCTATGATATTTTCGTAATAATTACCAAGAATCGTCTCTGGTTTCGCTCGTAATAAATACGTAAATACATAAATATAATAAATAATTGTATATGTTCATAGAATTAACAGAAATTTCAAAAATTGGATGAAGTATTTTATTTATTTCATTGAACCTAATTATGTAAGATTAAAAAACGCTATGGCGTTTTTCTATTAAAATTGAGCTCTTATCCGTTTTTAGTAACTGTTTGAATAATTTAAAAAACAAATAAGTTATTACAGTATATTTCAGCTTTAGGAACAGAAATACACAATGATTGTATAGTTTTTTAACAAACATGCCACATCATAAAATTTGTTTGAATAATAATTGTTATATTTTACATTTTTATTATCATACATTCATTGATAAACTGGACTCGTTTTGGCTCTGTTGTAATACAAGTACGTTGCTGCAAAGGATGACTTGATCCATCATTATGATTAATGATGGCTTAGTTAGAGCAAGCACCAAGTATTAATCATACCTTCCTTGTTCCGTAACCATAAATGAGGAATTAAATAACCATTTATATCAAATAGAGAATTATGAATAGCATTATTTATCTTCAGCGCAGGAAATTTGATATTGACATAATTAGTGGAAACCAAGTTATAAAATTGTCAAGATTCTATGTTATATTGTTCTTTTATATGTTTTTCTAGAGTATATCAGCATATGTGAAGAAATTTTAAAAATCTACTAGTGCAGGTAATCTTAATGGAGAACAGAATACGTCCACTACAGAACCAACCGAATCTTTTTTTTCTTTGTTGAATCTTCTGGGTTTCCTGATTGAATTCAAAAGTGATGGTTATTCAGTAGAAGGGACTTCTAGGATTCCATCGGAAACCAGTGGACCATCTCTTTGTGAAACAGTTTGCTATATAGCTTAAGACAAATTAATTTACCGCATAAGACCACAAATCTTTAAGGGGTATTTACAGTTTTCCCAAACCATGGAGAACAAGAGCCACAAAATCAGATGTGTGATTTATTCTTTACTTTATGGTTTTGTGACAGATCCGATCTACTATAGATTTTGGGCACTAACGTAAGAGTTCTTGTAGAGAGTAATCAATACCGACTTACGCTTGCGAAACTTGGACACTAAACAAGCCAGTTGCAAAAAGGCTTGATCGTTTCGAGAGGATGATCCTGAGACGCATTCTAGGACCAGTCAAAGATAATGAAACTAGGCATCTGCGCCGAAATTCGGAGTTGTACGGTGAATACCAAGATTTTAGTAACTGCAACTTCTTCAGGTTACAGAGACTAAAATGGATAGGACACCTCATCAGGATGGAAGACTACAGGTGCTCTCTAAAAGGAAGAGGCCAGATGGGACAAGACACCAGGGAAGACCTAGATAACGCTGGCAGATGGTGTCCTGATTGGTAGGTATGAGTATAGTACATGCTGATAGTGTCGTTTGGGGCAACAAAATTGAGCAGGGCAAGGACTGCCGATTTTCGCGTCCGTAGCACTATTAAAGAAGAAGAAGTAAATTTTCTATTTAGTAGAATTTACACCACGATTAGTATTGCCCAAAATAGATCTTGGTCTGGCACTTTGGAAGACCAAGACTAAGACCACCTTACTGATGCAAGATCAAGACCATGACTGATAAAAAAAAAGTCGATTTTTGAATACAAATTAAGGCAAAATAGTTACTAATACTTGACAATTTTAGTTACTATATATATCCTATATATTATTTCTAAAAGGTATTTTTTTGTCGGTACGCCATAACTTCGTCGAATCTTCATCAAATCCAATGATTGACCACTCATTTTGAAGATATTCTTCTCCTTCACATGCGAAAAATAGTCCCATCCCTCCGAAATTTCTCGAGAAAAAGTTGTGGAGGAAAAGAAACTTTATTTGTGAATAAATCT